CTTTCATGCACAAGGCCATGGATTTTCCTACTGGGGAGGAAAAGAACCTAAGCACAAATGTACACATAAGGTCATCTTAGTCATAGTCATACACTAGTCATTCATTTAGGGCTGTTGAGTTTTTGGTGGTGTTGTTCTGGTTGGTGTGTGTGTGTGTGTCTGTGCGCGTGCATACCAGTACCAGGGCTAGAACTCAGGGCCTCTACCACTTGAGCTAGGTTACTATCTGAGGCATGAGGCTCGAAGCCAGTGACTAAACTTGTTCAGGTATCCTTCATTTTCTTTTTTTTTTGTTGTTGTTGTTGGTGGTGGTCCTGGGGCTTGAACTCTGGGCCTGGGTGCTGTCCTTGAGCTTCTGTGCTCAAGGCTAGTGCTCTATCACTTTGAGTCACAGCTGTACTTCTTGTGTGTGTGTGTGTGTGTTTTGTGGTCGTGGGGCCTAAACTCTGGGTCTGGGTATTATCTCTCAGCTTTCAACTCAAGCCTAGGGCTCTACCACTTGAGCCACAGCACCACTTCTGGCTTTTTCTGCTTATGTGGTGCTGAGGAATTGAACCCCGGGCCTCATGCATGCAAGGCAAGCACTCTACCACTGAGCCACCTTCCCAGCCCCTACTTCTTGTTTTGTGGTGGTTGATTGGAGTTTTTTCATGGACTTTCCTGCAGGGGCTGGCTTTGAGCCACAATCCTTAGATCTCAGCTCCTAAGTAGCCTAAGATTGTAGGTATGAGCTACCAGCATCAGGTGTATCTTCCATTTTCAAATATTAAGGTTTGACTATGGCAGAAACTTCCAAGTAGAAATAGTGACAAGAAATTGGACCTACCCCTAACTCCTCCTGTGTGTCTGGCCAGATCATTCTTCATCCATCCAACCTCTTGGGGTAGGCAATAAAACCATCTTTACTCAAACCCCAGGCTGAGGGTGCAGGTGAGAAGGGAGAGGAAACCAGATGTGTTCATTCTGACCTAGGGCCCTGAGCCCCTTCATTTGGTTCTGTCATTAAATTAGGATTGTATGCTACCAAGAGTGAAGTTTCTCCTAAGGCTAACCTTGTAGATTTCATTTTCTTCTTACATTAATTGGTTTTTGGTAATGAATAAACCTTTCCTGGCCAGAACTATAAAGCTAAGAATGTAATTAGTAAGTGAGTAAATAGCTCTGTTTAGATTAAATGATAAATCGAGCAGCCAGCTTTGGTAACCTTCTTCGTAGGCAGGAGTGGTAGATTTTGATCAAGAAAAATAAACAAAGCCGGGCTGTGGCTCACACCTGCAATCGGAGCTACTCTGGAGGCTGAGATGGTCGAGGTTCAAAGCCAACCCGGGGCAGGAAAGACTGTGAGACTCTTATCTCCAATAAACCACTAGAAAATCCGTAAGTGGCACTGTGGCTCACGCCGTAGAGTGCTAACTTTGAGCTGAAGAGCTGAGGGACAGCGCCCAAGCCCAGAGTTCAAGCCCTACGACCGACCAAAAAAAAAAAAAAAAGAAAGAAAAATAAACAATGGAGGGAATGAGAGGGAGGAGCCCTGGACAATGGCAGGAAAATCGTGGTCTGCTCAGTGAGCAAGGAGGTGGTAGCATGGCCAACACAGCTTAGTTGTCCATTCAGTGGTGACCAGCAATGCCGGGCCAGGTTGACTTTCATGCCTATCGACATTGGTTGCTCTGCCGGGAGGTTGCTGTTACAGGGATGGTTTAAGAGGTTTGGTCTGGCGTGTTACTGGCAGGAGCCAGTTACTCTAAATAGCAGTGGGATCAGCCCTCCAGGGATGACTGAGCATTTCTCAAGAACTAAACCACAGACTTCAACTCTCCACTGCATCCACTTTCTATGGAGCCATTGGTCAATCATGAGATTTTAAGTTATGGCACCAAGATAATTTTACTTCTTGCTTTCTTTTTTTTTTTTTTTTTTGGTAAGTCGTGGGGCCTGAACTTGGAGCTTGGGTAGTGTCCCTGAGCTCTTTTGCTCATGGCTGGGGCTCTACCACTTGAGCCACAGTACCACTGTTAGCTTTTTCTGAGTAGTTCATTGGAGATAAAGAGTCTCATGGATTTTCCTGTCCCAGCTGGCTCTGAACCACGATCCTCAGATCTCAGCCTCCTGAGCACCTAGCCTGACAGGCCTGAGCCACAAGGCGCCCAGCTCTTGGCTTTGTTTCCTGAAGGAATGAGCTCTAGCTGTGTCATCAAGGTGCAGGGGGAGGCTTTAGTTAGGGAGGGTATTTCCTCTCAGTCTCCAGTGAAGGGGGGTACTTTATGAAGGCTTTGCAGTGCCCCAGTGACATTGGGCTCCTCAATAAGAGTTTTACTTCCCACTTGAAATACATGTAAGTGTAAGTGTGTGTGTGTGTGTGTGTGTGTGTGTGTGTGTGTGTACACCTGCTAATACTAGGGTGTGAACTCGGCCTCACGTTCTCCCTTGGTTTTTTAGCTCGATTCTGGCACTCTACCTCTTTGAGCCACAGCTCCACTTCTGGCCTAGACTGGCTGTGAACTGCGATCCTCAGATCTCAGCCTCCTGAGATCTGAGCACTTGCTGCATGTGCAAGTGCATTTACTGAAGCAAAGGTTTGTGTGGAGGTATCTTGATCCAGTTCTCTGTGAGTTACCTTTTGGTAAATAGTGCTAGACTGGTGGTCAAGGGTATTTCTCCACTGGCAGATGGTAACTACATAACTTTGAGCATGAGAATCAAAGAAAGTTCTATGGCCTCTGGACCCGCCTCTTCAATGCCTACCTCACCATGCTGGATGCCAGGCTAGCATTCTATGGACTGTTAAGTAAGAAATCTTGGTGTGTGTGGGGGGTTGTCTTCAATTTTCATCTCCTTCCTCTAAGTACCAGTTGCTGATGGATTGCGGTTGACCACTTCTAAGAACTCCAAGGCCCTTTTCGGTGCATGAGGACACAGTCATCCTCTTCCAGGGAGTGGAAGGTCCTAATAAATAGTGCAGGTGAAACTCTTGGCAAGGACGAGGGGCCAGGCACGGAGGAAGCCTTGGAGAATTTTTGTTGTGCGTGTTTGCGGATTCCGTGGATTGCATACCTGGGGACTTGGGCTTCGTTGTTTTGACTGTGGTCTTTAATGTGCCCAGGCAAAAGGGACATCATCTGGGGGCCTCCTCAGGGATGGCTGGGGCAGGATGGAGTCCAGAAGAACTCTGGGAATGCCAGGTTTCTTTGTAAGAAAGGGGGAAGTGAACAGTGCCTGCCAGACACCTGGCTGGGAAAGATGGAGCACGTGGCTCAGCTTCAAAGCGGCGCTTTGTCCATACCCTCTGCAGAGGGGAGACAGGACTCCAATGGGAGGTGAGTGGCAGAGCTGCTGACACTTCAACACAATGATGTTTTGGATGCTTTCCATTTCATTGCTTGGAACTTTTGTTTTACATTACATGTTGCTTGATTGGGAAGGTGGCTCAGTGGTAGAGCGCTTGCCTTACATGCATGAGGCCCTGGGTTCCATTCTTCAACACCACATAAGCAGAAAAAGCTGTGGCTCAAGTGATAGAGCGCTAGCCTTGAGCTGAAGAGCTGAGAGACAGCGCCCAGGCCCAGAGTTCAAGCAGCAACAACAACAGCAACAAAAATTTAGCTGTGTGTCATTGGCTCAAGCTTATAATCTTAGCTACTCAGGAGGCTGAGATACGAGGATCACAGTTCAAAGCCAGCCCAGGCAGGAAAGTACGTGAGACTCTTTTTTCCAATAAACCACCAGAAAACTGGAAGTGCTGCTGTGGCTCAAGTTGTAGAGTGCTCCCCTTGAGCTGAAGAGCTCAGGGACAGCTCCTGGGCCCTTCGTTCAAGCCCCACCACTGATGCCCCCTCTTTTCCCTCCTCCCAAATTCAATACCCAATAACATCACAGACACATGGTGGGCAGAGGCTGCAGTCCATTTCGTTGGGAACTTAAAATTACTCTTAAAAAAGTAAAATTTAGGGCTGGGAATGTGGCTTAGAGATAGAGTGCTTGCTTAGAATGCATGAAGCCTGGGGTTCCGTTCCTCAGTACCACATAAACAGAAAAAGCTGGAAAGTGGCACTGTGGCTCAAAGTGGTAGGTAGAGCGCTAGCCTTGAGCAAAAAGAAGCTCAGGACAGTGCCTAAGCCCTGAGTTCAAGCCCCAGGACTGGCAAAAAAGAAAGAAAAAGTAAAATTTACCCAAACCAGAGAACCAAAGCCAGGCTCCTGTGGCTCACACCTATAATCTGAGCTACTCAGGAGGTTAGCATCTGAGGATCAAAGTTAGAAGCTAGTTTGGGTGGAAAAGTCCTTGAGACTTATTTCCAATTAACCATCAAACAGTTGGAAGTAGAGCTGTGGTTCAAGTGGCAGAAGACCAGCCTTGAGAAAAAAAAAAAAAAGCCAAGGGACAGCCCTCAGAAGTCCTAGTACTTGGCACAAAAACAAACTTTCCTACAATACTTAATATGTGTAAAGACTAACCTGATTGCTGTTGGTAGGTGGCAAAGAACTTTGATATAAATCCTGAACGACTCCTCTAATGCTCTTATAAAAAAATCTGCCTTGAGGGTGCTGGGAAGGTAGATTAGTGGTAGAGTGCTTGCCTTGAATGCCTGAGGCCCTGGGTTCGATTCCTCAGCACCACATAAGCAGAAGAAGCCTGAAGTGGTGCTGTGGCTCAAGTGGTAGAGCGCTAGCCTTGAGCTGAAGAGCTGAAGGACAGCGCCCAGGCCCAGAGTTCAGGCCCAACAACCCAAAAAAAACAAAAAACAAAAAAAAAACTGCCTTGTATCTGACAAGAAAAAGGACTGGACAAGCCTTTAATTCTTATGAAAACAATGAGATGGAGAGCTTGGCTCAGGCTCAGGTTGAAGTCAATGTTTGGGTCTTAATCTGCCTCTTCTTGCTAAAGGCATTTCTTTTTCATACCTTTAGCAAGACGGTTGGTTTCCTCCTCTACATCTCAGGACACAATTCAAACTTTTCTGCTTTCACTTTTGATTAGTTATAACCTCCATCTGGCGGCCTTTGAGCATGAGTACTTTTTGTCCCCCTTCTTTTTGTGGCTTTTCTGTGACTCCTTTTCAAAGTATTCCAGGCAGCTTAAAAATACAAAACGTTCAGCAATCTGACCAAGAGCTAATGTAAGTACTTATTTGGGGACTTTTTTTTTTAAACAACAACAACAAAACATCTATTAAACAGATTTGAAACTGTTAACTATGATGTCTTGAAAATAGGTGGTAGGATTAAAAAAAGAAACTGGTTTGAAATACGTGGGCCTACTCAGCTACAGTCAAGAGAGAGCTTTTAGTAGCAGCAAATAGCACAGTTTATAAAAACAGAAGAGCTAAAATTCCTTATTTAATATTAAACAGGAAACTGAAAGTAGGCTGTAGTAACGGTAGTGAGTTTTCAACAAACCTGCTGCTATTTATCTGTGCCCCCAAAGCTTAAATTGAGACATTTTTCTTCTTTCATTCCCTTAGCATTATCTATTTTAGTGACAATCTGAACCAAAACAGGACCCTTGAAAACAGCTTGTTTGTGGTGAGGTTTTTGAATCAACCTGTATCTACTCGAACCGAAGGAAATTTGGAAGCAAATTGCAAACCTCTCCAAGAGTGAAAAATGCTGGCTCTTTTGTTTTCCTTTTATATGTCAGATATCCAACATGTGCATTTATGAATATTCTTTCTGAAGACCTGGACTTCATTTTAAGGTCAGCCTTCAATTTTCTAGAGAATATAATTTGCTGCTATTTTTAGAACACCATGATTGCTTGTAATAACTAATGGGGGAAAAAACCCTCAACAGAGAAATAAATGTTTAACAGCTGTGTCTGTTTAAACTTGATTAAAGGCAGTATATATATATATATATATATATATATATATATATATTTCACAAAAGTAAACAGAAGAATACTGTGACAGTGGATGAGAGACTAGGAGCTCTCATTATGAGAAGTCTTACAGATATAACTGCACTTTTGGAAGGCCGGCCATGCCTGTGTTTAAAGTTTACTGTTTTGTCTTGAGTAGGATCAGTGTTGTAGTGAATAATTTATAGCCAGCATGAATGAGCTCATTAGTCACCTTTTCAGACTTTAAATGAGTTTTGTGGTTGTCATTACTTGAGCCTTCTGTTGTGCCGCTGAGCAAAATGACAGTTTGGCAGTTGGCTGCCTAGCTGTGGGCTGCCTGTCCCCTTCAGGTCTGCGTTGGCTTTTGTATTTCATTCAAACCTTCCCTGGCTTGCTCTGTGCTGGTTTAGAAACACATTTCAGATGCCTTAATGCACCCCAAGTTTAAGATGAGGAGTTTGGGGAGTGTATGTGTGTAGGGGGGATTAAAAATAAATCTTTTGCTGGTGTCTGCCAGACAGAATGAAGTGGATAAAGAACATTTATTTTCCTCCCCCAGCAATGACTGTGTGTTATTTGTTTCCTTTGTGCTTGGTGTGATAGTTAGTCCACGACAGCGCACAAGCGAGGGAGTGGTCACGCTGCAGTGAAGCCAGGCTCTCTCTCTCTCAGGTGGCAGTGGGCAGCTCAGGGCAGAGCGTGTCTAAGGGTTTGGAGAGAGAAGGGTCATTCAGAATAGATGTGTACCATTGCTGTTCTGAACATCAATATGATACGGATGTGAAAACCTGGTCTAGGGCAAAGTTCCTGGGCCAGATTTGCAGAGCCAAAGGAAAATTGTATTATCTCTACAAAGGGGTCTAGAAGACCTTTCAAGATCCAGCGACATGGAGGCCCAGGATCGTTGGCAATGGCCATGACTCAACTACTCCTCCCCTCCCACCATCTTGATGTTTCTCAGCACGAGGTTGATCTTGTCTAGGGGTCTTGAGTGCCTTCTCTTCTCCAAGTAACGAATGATGAGGCAGGCGAAATGGGAGCAGAGACAAAGTTTATTTTTGAAAGTAAGATGTCAGGGAAACTGAGGCAAGCCTCTTAGCTATTGGTAGGTTGGTATAAAGCCCCCAATCTGGACTCTGGATGATGGGGGGGGTGGCCTTAGGCCAAATAAGGTCTTATCTACTTGCTTCCCAGGCTAGTAGAAGGAGGGAGGAGGGAGGAGGAAGAGGAAGAGAGGAGGAGGAGGAGGAAGAGGAGGAGGCAGTGACAGTCTTCTCTTTGTAAGAGAGAAAGAAGTGGGGTCCTGAAGTCGGCAGGGCACATGCAGTGCTCACGGAGTCTCCTTTTTTTTTTTTTTTTTTTTTGGGTCCGGTCGTGGGGACTGAACTCTGGGCCTGGGCACTGTCCCTCAGCTCTTCAGCTCAAGGCTAGCGCTCTACCACTTGAGCCACAGCGCCACTTCCAGCTTTTTTCTTTTTGCTTATGTGGTGCTGAGGAATCGAACCCAGGGCCTCATGCATGCAAGGCAAGCGCTTTACCACTGAGCCACCTTCCCAGCCCCTGGAGTCTTCTTTTTTATAGCCCTTTTGGATGAATCTCAGCTGTTTTGACATCTCTTGGGTAACTGTACCCCTCACTCCAAGGGTGTAGGGTGTGTTGTTGTTGCTTCTATCAGAGGGACTTCAGGAAGAGGAGGGTATCACCTCCACCTGTTCCCCTCTCTCCCTGTCTGCATAATCTTTCTCCTTTTGCCTCCCTCAAAGTCATTAAGAACAACCAACCACTGCTGTTTCCTTCCTGAGCCTCAGCCATGCCCTGGAGGCTGGTATGTACAGAAGGCTGGCCGAGACCTGCCAGTAAGCAGGTGGAGTTTCCTGGAAGGGATGTCACAGGTCCATCCCTCCCTTTGAGCAAAGGCCTGGGCAGCCTCGGGAGAATTCTGACATTCACACCCTGGGACTGGACTCCATCCAGAAGCCCAGGGACATTGGGGCATGCCCACCCTGGGCCTTTGGGTAGCTCCCCCTGGCACTTATGGTACATTGATGCTTGTCCAGGATATATGGGCCAAGGCCCCTGGACCCCTGCTCGGAGGTCTCTGTGAAATTTGCTACGTGCAAGAGGCGTCAGTGGCTGCCGTCACCAACGTGGGCAGCACCCCCTTCTGGGATCCATATTGTTAGACAGCTGGCCTAGCCCTGTGTGAGGCATACAGGAAAGATGCTCAGTATCCCTCTGTAGAGGAAATGCCAACTTGAAAAGGACACCTGGTTGTTTGGAGGCCAAATCTTTGAAACCAGTCAGAGGCATCTGATTTTAAGTACAGAGAAATGCGGTGCTGTTGAACATACCCACGGAGTTAGCAATCCACGTGGCGATTTCCTTTGCAGCACCTATCCTTAGATTGATCACTTACATAATATAATGTTCTAATAGTTTGTGAATACCACTTCTTTCTTTTTTCCTTTGTCCAGTCCCGGGGCTTGAATTTAGGATGTGGGCACTGTCCCTGAGCTTTTTTGCTCAAGGCTTAGCTAGCGCTCTACCACCTGAGCCACGGCTCTACTTCTGGCTTTGTGATGGTTCATTGGAGAGAAGCGTCTCACTGGTTTATTTTTTTTTCCTGCCTTGGCTGGCTTCAAACTGTGATCCTCAGATCTGAGCCTCCTGAGTAGCCAAGATTAGAGGTATGAGCCACTGGTGCCCAGATTTTGCTTTCTTTCTTTCTTTCTTTCTTTCTTTCTTTCTTTCTTTCTTTCTTTCTTTCTTTCTTTCTTTCTTTCTTTCTTTCTTTCTTTTCTTCCTTTCTCTTTCTTTCTCTCTTTCCCTCCCTCCCTCCCTCCCTCTCTCTCTCTCTCTCTTTCTTTCTTTCTTTTTCCTCAGAAAAGTCCAATTAGAGAAGGCACTTCTTGGCCTGGGTAAATACAGCACCAGTTCCTTGCGCTCACTGGAGATGGGGGACCAGGAAAGATCTCTACAATCTCCATGGGATGCAAGGGCTGAGGAGGCTGCATATATCTGACCCATAGCTAGGGTTTGTAGATGGTGGCTTGATTGTGTACCCTACATTTCTTTTTTGTGAAGTGATCAATATTTTTCATTATTTTTATGCCCCATGCCATCAGCAAGAGACATATGAGGCTGGATCCCTGGATACAGAGACACCTGCAATCTGTTTGATATTCCCTATCCAGTTGATTTTTGGGGGGCTGGGGGGTGGGGAGTCGTTTGTGGGGCTTGAACTCAGGGCTTGGGCGCTGTCCTTGAGCTTTTCTGCTCAGACTTTCTTTGCTAAGTCTGGTGTAGACTCTAAGACACATGAGTTCAACATTCTTTTTTTAATTTGGTAGGTTGTTGGGCTTGAACTATAGGCCTGGGCGCTGTCCCTCAGCTCCTCAGCTCAAGGCTAGTATTCTACCACTTGAGCCACAGTACCACTTCTGGTTTTCTGGTGGTTAATTGGAGATAAGAGTCTCATGGACTTTCCTGCCCAGGCTGGCTTTGAACCATGATTCTCAGATCTCAGCCTCCTAAGTAGCTAGGATTACAGGCATGATCCATTGGCACCCAGATGATTTTTTTTTTTTTTACATGACTGGTTGAGGCTGAGGGAAGTAACATTGCCTCTTTGTTTTAACTTTCTTCAGGTAAGTAAATGTCCTTTTCCATCTATTTAACATCACAGTTTTTGTGGTGCTTTTGTGGTGATTCTGTTTAAAATGGCGCTCCAATGTGGCTGAAATGCTTACTGGCTGTTTGTGTTTGTGGTATTCTTGAACGCAAGATAGTTGTCATGAGTCTTGTAGAGAAAATACATGGATTAGACAGGGTTCATTCAGACATGAGTCACAGAGACATTAACAGAGTTCAGTGCTAATGAATTAATAATAGCTATTCAACAGAATTTCTTTAAATGGAAACACAAATAAAGTGTGGTTATGAACTGATCTGTTGATGGAATAATTGACCAGAGACGTTCAGGAACCTAAGCCCTGTATTTCCTCTAGGAGCAGTGGGTCAGAGTTTGCCAATTCTGTATTTGGGATGCCTCAGCTGGGCACGGATTTTCTGTAAGCTCTTGGGGGAAGAAAAGACATAACACATTTCATCTCTTGTAAGAAAAAGAGCAAATATTTCTTTCTCCCACAGTTTTGTGTGTGTGTGTGTGCGCGCGTGTGCGCGCACACGCGTGTACACGCGTGTACGCGCACACATTCTTATGCATGCCAGTACTGGGGCTTGAACTCAGGGCCTAGGTGCTGTCTCTTAGCTTTTCTACTCACTCTGCCACTTAGGCCACAGTTCCACTTCTAGCCTTTTAGTAGTTAATTGGAGCTAAGTGTCTCACAGTCTTCTCTGCTCTGGCTGGTTTTGAACTGTAATCCTCAGATTGCAGCCTCCTGAGTAGCTAGGATTATAGGCAAGGGCCACCTGGCACCTGGCAAAAAATTCTTGACTCGAGTATTTTGAGCTGAGCTCTGGTGCTGCATTGCATGTCTGTGATTCTAGCTACTTAGGCTGAGATCTGAGGATCGAAATTCCAAGTCAACTCAGGCAGGAAATTCCTTGAGACTCTTACCTCCAATAAACCACTCTGAAGAAGCCAGAAGTAGTGCTGTGGCTCACATGACGAGAGTACTAGCCATGAGAAAAAGAAGCTTAAGGACAGCCCCAGGCCCTGAGTTCCAGCCCCAGGATGGGGGAAAAAGTATTTTGAGCTGGGTGCCAGTGGATTATGCCTGTTATCCTAGCTACTCAGGGGGCAGAGATCTGAGGATCGCAGCTCAAAGCCAAAGCCAGCCTGGGCAAGAAAGGCCGTGAGACTTTTATCTCCAATAAACCACTCAGAAAACCAG